TCACCACACCTGTCCAGGGGTGTCACCTTGGCAACTGACTGTGACTCCACCCCCTTCTCTGTGATTGGCTCAGAGAGCTCCTGGGCAGAGACAGCAAGGACCTGAAAGGAAACCAGAAACACAGTAACTCACTCTCATGTTTAACACGTTTTACAGATTTCAGTGTTTAATATGAATAATGTTTAAGAGAATTCTGGATTATTGTGGATATAAATATTAGTAAATGATGAGATTATGGCTGTAGAATCAGCGTTTTCACCTCCAGGATGTCGAGCCTCTGTCTCAGGCTGTAGTTCAGAGAGTAAAACTCAGCAGTCAGATATTCCACAACCTGAGAAACAGACAGAACGTTATTCACTTTTACTAGTAATAATAATAATAATAATAATAATAATAATAACACATCAAAACATTTTTAACATGACAAAGTTACCAAAATATCATTTTAAATATTAATAGAACTGTGATAAAACTGGATCATTATACTGTGTGTGTGTGTGTGTGTTAAGAGCTAAATTATTATAATTTTTTAATATGGTGTTATATAGTAGAAAAGAAATTATTTATTTATTTATTTTTAAATATAAGTTGTATGTGAGCTCTAAATTGAATGAGAAAATCGCACTGAAGTGTGTGTGAAGGGTGTGTGAAGTGTGTGTGAAGGGTGTGGTATCTTACCGGCTGTGTGTGTGTGATCGCAAGGGCCACCATGGCGTTCTGTCGTAGTGTGTAGAAGCCTGTGATGTTGTACCTGTCCTCCAGGTGTAACAGCACTTTACTGAACTGTACGCTCACCTGATACACCCAGACACACACACAAACACACCCAGACACGTCTGTATTAATGCACTTAACTAGCTAGCTCATCATACTTTATTACATTGTGCTAGCTCGTCAGTGAGGTTTCCAGATACACAGTAATGGGAAACACATTGCAGCTTTTACCTGCTAAAAAATGAACAGTTTGTCCAAAAAATGAAATGAAAAAATGAAGGGGTGGGAATACTTTCTGAATGCACTGTATGACCTCTTGGTGACCTCTCACCTCTCGTGTGGTGCTGATGTTCCTCCTCAGAAGCCCGTCTGCTGCCTGAAGACTCAGCTCCACCCTCTCCGGGTCATCAGACGACATCAGGGCTGTCAATCAAACACAGCCCATGTCTGAATATAATGTCACACACTATCAGGTTCACACACTATCAGGTTCACACACTATCAGGTTCACACACTATCAGGTTCACACACTAGTGTTGCTACATCGATTCATTCATGGTTTAGTAATTCCATTATCGGTTTGGATGTTTTCAATCAGACACAAGTACCAAAGGTTCTAGCTGGAACTTAACAGGAACTTAACTAATGAAGCGAGTAGAACTGTTCATGGCTGAGTGGGAACATATTGTGCAGCACCACACACACACACAAACATTACATTAAAAAGAAAAAAAAGATGCATCA